ATAAGTTGTAATGTAGTCAAATAAGAATAATAGAAATTGTATAGTTTATAATCTTCTCGATAGATGACGCTTTTTATTATTGTATAAACACATTCACACTCGTGTATAATGATAATTTTCCATTATTATTCCGCCTTAACATCGACCTCTGGTGGAAGTATCGCCCATTTTTGTAATAATATACATGGTTTAGATATATCTAAAATATTATGGTTTAAAGATACAAAACGTGAGTCACATTTCTCACACAAAGTCAGTTCACATGAGAAAATCAGCTTAAAATATTTTCTTCGTCACTTCCGTAAATCCACATGATGATATACAACGAATAGTTCACTATATCACCAAGAAAGTAATTAACAGTTAGTGATTTATACAGTATAGTTACCCTAATTTAATTGTGTAATTTTCCTAAAACATTGGATAAAACTAGTATTATACATTGAATACAGCCTTTAATTACTTAGCTGTATTTGGTATTCATCATATGGTGCTTTTTTTTCAGAACTTCTAGATTAATTAAAAAGAAAATGTAGGACGTAAATGGAGATACCATTAATTTCGATAAGATATTTAGATAGACTACATAAAAGCAATACAATTTAACCAAGTATATTGTGCGTTGCGCTAACTCAGATCCAAGGTGCTGCTCCCTATTTGCTACTTTAAAGTATGTGAATAACAAATTTTGCTTTTTCAATTCGATTTTGGTTGTTTTAGACCAAGGCCACATTAGGCTATCTACTGTATCCACCACGGGTAATTGAACCCCGGATTTTAGCGTTGTAAGTCCATAAATTTACCGATGTCCCACTGGGGAACTTTAAATCGATGCTATGTGTCCAAATATTACTCTAAACGTATTTCAAACAAGAAAGTTTCATATATAAAACCCAATTGAAATTTCACTTCCTTTTAAGCTATTCTAATGTTATTATTTGTAATCATATAAGAAATACCAAAAGGTAATTAAATTTAAGTCCAACATTCTTTATTTAGACAAAATTAATGCATTGCTAAAAATCACATATTCTACTTGTGTTTACTTTAATACCAAAACAGTTACTCAACAACAACCGATGGTTTAGTGTTGGTAATTATCCGAAAACAATATCTATTCCACTCTATCGCACAGAGAATCGTTGCAAAATTCGTGTTCCCAAACGTAATATTCCTTACTATTATGACCTTCACAGTAAATATTTTATGTTTGTTAAAAAAATCATCTCAAGCTGGTATGAAATTAGTTGCGCTAGTATTAATTACAGGAGTGGAAGACTTTAAGACAACATACCATTCATGAGTTGTCAACTCGGCACAGCTGTACATTTTTATTCGTTTCTGATATAGGAAAGACGAATGAGGCTATCTGCTGTGTCCACCGCGGGGATATCAAACCCCAGATTTGAGCGTTGTAAGTCCGTAAACCAGTAGAGTAGTTGTGAGTTAGTAACATAACATTAAAGAACAATAAATGACCTTTTGGTCCATTTAGGCACTATCCACCAAATTAAACTAAACCTTTAAAAAAAAAAACCTCAAAGCTAGCCCTCATCATTCAAAAATTTATCAAGTTTTCCCTTAATCTTCTTTCAATTGATTGCATCCACCACGTCCGAAGGCAATCCGTTCCAGAGGCCAATCTCCCCCTCCGTTATAAAAAAAATGAAGAAGATGTGACTCTTAAAGTCAAACAATCTTTTGTGGTTTTAAATATATTTTTGGATACTTTCCTAGGCCAAATTTCATAACGATAACTTTACAAAACAAAATTTGGGAAATCATTATCATCCAGTCATCGATGTTTATGAAGTAAGAATTTTGGTTATCAATATAAAAAGGAAACATACCTTTCTAATGTTTAACTCGTTTTATAGTAAAGGAATAATTTGATCTAAATATGATTCAATTTTTGATTTGATGAGTAAAATTTAATACCTATTGTAGCGCCATCTGTGCACAGTTAATTAAACACATAAAACCTCACCGAAATCCACAAAATTGCACATCAAATAACGAAAGAGTCATGGGAGTATGAAAATTCTGAGTACAGAAGTCAAAACATAAGTGTTGATAACAATATGATATGTAATTTTATGACAAAAAAACACACAAGTACGCGTTTTTTTATCGATTTATTTTAATGTTTTTTTAACCACTATACCAAGTTCAGTATATACTGACATACTTATTGGTAATTTATAAACTAATTTCATTTCTCTCAAAACGATATCTACAACTTAAACGATTTATGTAATTGTTTCAGAGTTCTTATCTTTATAACTTTAAAACCTTTTATATGATTTTTAAATGAAAATTTGACTTAACAAAATGTGATTTGAATAACAAGAGAGGAAATAACTTAGGAACTTTCTTAATACACACATTTTTCAATATTTATTTGTAAATCTGTGCTTAATATATAGAAAGAAAAGGCGTATTAAACTGCAATTCACTGAACAACTAAAATCAATAGTGCATACACTTCAGTAATTATTACTATTACAAATTAAGATAAACACAATTCGAGCTATAAAATATTCAACCAGATTAAAAAAGTCTAACTTGCACGGCTTAAAAAAACAAGTTATTATGAAACTGGATGGCGGTTTGGGAAATTCAGAACTGTAAATAAACAAGCTAATAAAGTTTGTTTGTTTTATTATTATTACTATTCATTGCTATCGTAAATGACCCTACCCACGATGTAATAAGTATTTACACTCAATCTGTAAGAACTTATCAACCAATTTTTTACCCTTGAATATGTTCATTTGCTCGTGTATATAATAACTAAAACAATGGTTCGAAAGTAGGGTTACTCAAAATAATAAAAAAGGCTACAATTGTGTAGAATTTAGATTAGGACATAGAAGTTTGATTACTCTATATATTGTTGTTAAGTTATTTATCTTCGATTTTGATTTATACTGTGCATTGTTGAAGCCAAGTTGGGGGGTGGTGGTATTTGTTGAGACGGTCCCTGGCTGGCTCACTATATAGGTTTCGAAGTAAATTAACGTTTGTTAATCGCAAGATGAAATTTATCATATCATAATCACGTTAAAATGATATAGTGATTTGATAATGCTGACGTCATTTGGATTAGAACGATATTAAATGACACGGTGCGGTGATTTGCCTCGAAATGATAGGATAACTGCGTAACAAAAGCTCAACAGGTTCTGTAGAAATTCCAGCAAAAAGTACTGAAATGGTTTGACAAAGAATGAGTCCATGTTTTGTAGTTCTAATGTTTTTGGCTTCTAGATGAAGGTATGTTTATGTAATTTTAATGTTACATGACTTAGGACTGTATGTATCTGGTCCTAATGTCTCTTAGCGCAATATAGGACTATACTTCTTTAATTTTAACATTAGCTGTCACACGATGACGCTATGTTTGCGTAGTTTCAATGTTTCCTGGCTCAGAATGAGGTTATGTTCGTATAGCTTATTGTGACCTGGCTCAAGATTAACTTATGTTTGTGTAACCTATTGAGACCTGGCTCAAAATGAGGTTATGTTTGTGTGGCATATTGTGACCTGCCTCAGGGTAGGTTATGTTTGTGTAGATTACTGTGATCTGTGTCAAGATGAAGTTATGTTTACGCATTTTTTATGTAAAGAGCAAAATATATTGCTACTTTTGTGTAGGTATAGAGTTATATGCTTCAAAATGAGGCTACGTTTGTATAATTATATTGTAACCTGGTACTTTTATAAAGTTGAAGTGTAACTTTGCACAGAATAGTGCTATCTTTGTGGTGTTTAAATGTTATCTGGCTCAGACTTGTGTATTATTGGTGTTATCTAGCCCAAGATGAAGATATAATTACGTAGTATTGGCGTTACTTGGTGCTATATGACGCTATAGTGTAGTATTGGTGTTACCTAGCGCAAGAAGAGGCTATATTTCTATAAAATTGATGTTACTTGACTCAAAATGAGGATATAATTGTATTGTATTGGCGTTAACAAGCAGAAGATGAACTATGCTTGTATGGTATTGGTGTTACTTGACTCAAGATGAAACTATAATTGCATAGTATTGGTGTTACCAAGCGCAAGATGAAGCTATATTTGTGTGCTATTGGTGTTACTTGACTAAAAATGAAACTATAATTGTATAGTATTGGTGTTACCAAGCGCAAGATGAACTATACTCGTGTGTTATTGGTATTACTTGACCCAAGATGAAACTATAATTGTGTAGTATTGGTGTTATCAAGTGCAAGATGAACTATACTCGTGTGTTATTGGTATTACTTGACTCAAGATGAAACTATAATTGTATAGTACTGGCGTTATCAAGCGCAAGATGAACTATACTCGTGTGTTATTGGTGTTACTTGACTTAATATGAAGCTATAATTGTATAGTACTGGTGTAACCTGGCTCAAGATGAGGCTATATTTGTGTGGTATTGGTGTAACCTAACACAAGATGCGGCTGTATATCTGTAGTGTCTGTGTTACGAAGTTCATAATGAGGCTATGATTGTGTTATGTTATCGATTCGAAATAAGGTTGTAGTTATGTAATGTGAAGTTCCCCCTTATTAAATATTCGTTTTCGACGTAAAATATAATGATATTTCTAATGATTACATAAAAACATGCCACTTATAACTATGTACTTTTATGTTAAATATGTTAGCATCATTGGCAACGAACACAAACATATATATATATACATACACATAAATAAAATGTAGAATATATATACGAGCTGCTGTTATACATCATAATAGTTTAAATGTGAAACTCGGATTGTACTAGTTAAACAACGTAATATATATATATATATATATACTTTCTTTTTATATACAAACAAACAAATCAAAACTTTCTTACAGAAAGTTCGCATGGGTTAAATTCTGATCCAAATGAAGTTAGATGTTAATTTTCTTTGTTTGTTTGTTGTGAATCATAAAGCTACACTATGGCCTATCTATGCTATGCCCACCGTGAATATCGAAACCCGATTTTTAACGTTATAAGACAAACAATTTAGAGAACTATTTGAAATAATATTACTTAATAACAAGATTTAAAAAGAAAAATGTACTTGTTCGTTTAGTTCGGGTTTAATTCTCTATAAGAAATATTTTGATGTTTAAACTATCAATCTTAGTTCATTTTACAGTTTTGTGTGGTCTGTATATCCTAAAGAACCGTTAATGGCCGATTGTTTGTTTGTTTTGGCACAAAGCAACACAATAGGCTATCTGCGCTCTGACTAACACGGAGATTCAAGCGGATTTTAGCGTTGCGAATTTGTAGACCTACCGCTTACCGACTGACAAGCGGATTTTAGCGTTGTGAATTTGTAGACGTACCGCTTACCCACTGACAAGCGGATTTTAGCGTTGTGGATTTGTAGACGTACCGCTTACCCGCTGAGTGGATACTGAGTGATCGATAGGAACTAAATAGATTTTTTCTTAGACGTATAAGTAATTTACTGCTCATAAGAAAATTTTTATATTATGTGAGCTTCACGAGAACAGAATGAAATGATATGAGAGTAAAATCATCACGAGATATGATAAATCAAAAATGAAAATCCTATTAAACACAAAATCTTAGAGCTACTTTTACGTTAGACCTATTTTAATTTCAAAAAGTTGAGTCTCGACTACTAAATACCTCAAATATGTATCAATGTAATGATGAATGTTTATTTTTTTTAGCGTCACTTAAATATAGTAAATAATGATTTGTAAATGAATTATAATTAACAGTAACACTGTTGGATTCTGGAGCGTGGCCCAGCGGTTAGTGTGCCATTCTGTAGATCCGTGGTTTGCGCCCCGTTACCGCCGGAACAAAACAATTTATGCTCCGTACTTTATGGCCGTTGGTACGTTATTAGAGTGACAGTCAAATCCCACTATTCGATTAGAGTATCCCACGGGCTGATGCAAGGTGGTGTTGAGTAACTGCCTTTTCCTCTAGTCCTCACATCTCAAAACTAAATACGATTAGCACAGATTGCCCTCTGGTAGCCTTGCGCGAAAGTCAACGAAACAACAATCAATCAAATGTCTTAAATGGGGCAAAACTTTACATTACTGCCCATCTGTATGTTTTTTAAAGGCTATTAAGCAAGTTTCCTGTTTTGTATCCTACCTTTTTGTTAGTGATCTATAAAATGTTTCTGTCCTTTAACTGTTACTTTAACATCTGATACTTACCACAGGTAATTATGAAAGATCAGAACACCATTGTGATTAATTTGTGACATCTAATGGCATATAAAAAAAAACTTAAGATTCACTGTAGAATGCATCTGAATTTCTTCATATAAACATTCACTACTCATTCCTAAAAGGAATATCTCTCACTGTCATAAAAAAGATGAAGAAACGACAAAATTATTTTATTTGTCAGTTTTTATACTTTCTAGAGACCCTCATTACCGAGGCAGTTTTATAATCTTTACCACAAAGTGGTAATACCGTACACTATAAGTTTGGCAATAAGTACCACAATTAAACTATGTGAAACTTTAGAAGCTGTTGATGGCAACTTCGTGGGTTCCTGTGGTCTTTGAGTGACGGGAAGGTCTTTGGGTGTGGACGAACTGAAATATATATCCCCGAACTCTTCTTCATTTTCTTTTGGAGTGTACCAAACGTCTCCACTACCACTACCGCTACCGCTACCACTGGCACTACTCTCTAATTCTTCATCTGGGGTGTACCAAAAGTCTCCACTACCACTATCGCTACCGCTACCACTACCACTGGCAATACTCTCTGGTATTTAAAATAAAACAGAAAATATTAATTACACCATCCTTTCTTTATTAAACATCGAACTAATTATAGCAGAACTACAGAGAAATATTCTGTTAAATATACTTCTTGGCTTGCGAAATTACTCCAAACTAGTTGGGATTAAGGTCGTAACGCATAATACATTCACACAAACAGATTGAAAACGTTTTGAAAGTAAAGAAATATACTTCTCACACAACAATAAAGAGAATTATAAGACTACGACCATATATTATCTAATATTTTGTGTGTCCTTTTTTCTTTCAAAACCACATGGGTGCGTTGTGGACGACTTTTCTGCAATCCCTATAAAAAAAATCTTCCAAAATATGACTCCAAGCATAAAGAAATACATTCCAAAGTTCATCTTTAGAAGTTGATTGCTATTTATTCTTTTCTCTGTCCAGCTGATCCCATACCGATTAACTAATATTGGGATCTAGACATTTTGGAGGTCCATTGATTTTTAACAAGATCTTCCACTTGAATTACTAATATGCATCTCTAAATTTGAATGGACACATCTTCATGTTCCATAATTGGCTTTAAGCACATATCCTTGTATTCTTCTCCAGCTCTTCTCCTACAAACTGTATTCTTTTCAACCCAAAGACTTCAAATTTAGACTCGTTGGTCCAAAGGACTTGCTTCATTGATTCAGGGTCTATTTTTTATGCTCGTTGGTATATTTGAATCTCTTTGCTTTATTGTATTTTATATGAGACAGGTTTCTTAACAGCCACTCGTCCTTTCAAACGTTCCTCACAAGAATCCTCATACAGTGGAAGAATGGGCTTATAACCCTCATGCTTCTATAGTTCCTGTGTTAACTCCTGGTTAGATTTTTTCTTTTGTCCTCTAAGAAAGTAATCCTCAGTGCTGTTCATCTTCTTTAGAGTCTTTTGGATGGACCACATCTTTCCTTGTCTGTTATTAAACCAGTCTGTTTGTATTACTTGATCATTTCTTTGAATGCATGCAGAGAAAAGCAGTTTTGTGACCAATATACTGCTGGCTATACATTTTCTTATATTGAAATAAAATTCTAAGTCGATCCTCTGTTGCAATTTTAAACATTTCAATGTATTCAATGTATAACTCTTCTGCACAGAAAAATGTGAAGTCATTAACACATTCGCTGCCATGTGCCCCACCGGTGGGTCACAGACAATTATGTTTCAAAACCAAATTTATCTTGTGGCATACGAGTTTGGGACTGCTCCTCGGCACTTCTTGAATGGTACTAGGGTAGGAATTATTAATACTACTGGTGACAGCGAGCATGTTAATACTTTTAATGGCTGGAGACGGCTTGAATGGGTAATGATGAAAAACTTTAATATAACAGCAAATGTACAACGTTTCGACAAGGTTTTGTCATCATCAGGTAC